AAGATAGTTCTAATTTTGGTGTAGAGAGTAGTCACGTAGAAGGTCTAGTTTATTATGATTCAGAAGTGGAGAATGTTGGTGGCGAAAGTAGTAATAGGGCCAGCAACTATAATTCTCACCGACCACCTTCACCGAATAGGCGGTCTCCTTCCCCAAACGGAAGATCTTCAAATGTTCGACCGTCACCAAATAATCAACGTTCAACTAGTCCAATAAGACCTTTATCTCCAAGTTCAGGGACAAGAAATAAACAAACTCCTGCATTTTCAAACCATAAGGAAAACATGAATATAATAGATCCAATAGTCGATGATGAAGATGACAATGTCCCTTTAGGTCTTTACAAAACAACGCATATAACAAAATAATGAAGGCTGAATTTTATCATTTTTCACAATTAGATAAATAAAATCCGCTAATTTAAAGATTATATTTGAGGGAAATCGTATTCTGGTTATATCTGAGTGTTAACCGTAGACTTTGATTTCCGGAAAATCAACTGTTTTTGATCAAACATTTCGCATACCTATATGTCAATTTATAAGCGATATAAGCAATTTTATTTCGTGTAAAAAAAACCTGTATTAAATGCTAATTATTATGTTCTTTGTAATATACCTTTTCTCATAACAGTTAAGTATGCTATATTGTTTATTTTTATTATTACTGTAATATTTATTTTAAAAACAGATATGAAAAACAAAATATATATATAGTATTATCTGTTATAACACAGTATAAATCGATTTTATTATATAATTATTTATTAATTTTATTATTTTAATTTTATATATTATATAGACACTTTAGAGTTGTAAAAACTATAGTTTTTTATATTTTTAACTGTTTAAAACAGTTAATTGTTTTATAAAATAAAAAATATTTTTTATTTTATAATTATATTTTAATATGTATACATACATTTTATTTTAAATTATTTATTATTTATTATAATATATATATAAATTTAATGTTTAAATTAAAATAGTAAAGTTTATAATATATATATATATTCAATAGTTAAAGTACTTTGAAACTAAATTTTATTGATATTTTTATATATATTTTAATTACTATATAATAATTTTTTATATTATTAGTAATTAAATAAAGGTATAATTAGTTATATATACAATTTTAAATTGTTTATTTAAGTAAATTTTTAATATAAATTATATACAGTCAACTCTCTTTAAATATATATTGCTGGAACCAGTACTATAACTTGCATTTAAAAAGAATCTGCAATTAGAGAAAAATTAAAATTATTAAAAATTTTATTAATAAAAAATAATAAAATCTTTAAAAATCAATAACTTTTAATATATTAATCCAATTTGGATGATTTAACTATAAAAATGATCCTTTTATAGAGAGGATCATTTTGGTAGTTAAATAATCCAAATTGGATCAATATATTAAAAGTTATTGATTTTTAAAGATTTTATTATTATTATTTTTTTTTTTCTGTTAATTGGTGATCCACTAGTTAACCAGAAAGTGATTATTGTAAAATATAATTCAAATTACTTATAAAAATTGGGGGTCTCCAAATATGGCATGTGTATATTTAAAACTTTTTTTATACTAAGTTAAACATCTTTCTAACTTAAAAGACTTTTGTAAAACTTGTCAAGGCATATTTAATGTTGGTTAGAGCGTCAAAATCGGCTTGGTAGGTGTCAAGATATCTTTAAAAAATATTTCTTTTACTATGTAAACTTCTTTGCAAACAATATTATTGTTTGCAAAGAAGTTTATATAGTAAAAAAAACATTTTTTAAAGATAACTTGGTACCTACCAAGCTGATTTTGATGCTCTAATTACTATTAAATACACTACAAAAGTCTCTTAAGTTAGAAAAATAATTAACTTAGTATAAAAAAAAGTTTTAAATATGCACATATCACATTTAAAAACCCCCAATTTTTATTAGTAATTTGAACTTATCAGCAGATTTTTAAAATTTACTATTGAAAATTTCAAAAATATTTAACAGTAAATAAAATTTAATTTACTAGTTTATTTTTGATAAAACAATTACCAAAATATTTGTCTTGTTAAGATAATTCTAATGGACACAAAATCATCAAAATCCAATCACAAAACCCGAGATTGGTAGAGATTTGCATTGCTTTGAGTATTTTAAAATTAGTTAAACCAATTCTAAAACACTCTAAGTAAAACAAATCATCAAAAATATTGGGATCTTGTCATTAGATTTTGGTGATTTTGTATCCATTAGAATCGTCTTACTGAGACAAAACTTTTGGTAATTGTTTTGTCAAAAATAGATCAGTGGATTAAAAATTATTCACTGTTAAATATTTTTAGAATTTTTAATAGTAAATTTCAAAAATCTGCTGATATGATCACATTTTACTATGATTACTCTCTAGTTGACTAGTAGATTACCAATTAAGGTGATCTTTACATAGTAACTTTTTATTAGAAGTTTTATTTTAATTACAATAAGAATACATCAAGCTATATATGCACTTTTGGTGCTTAATTTTAGTCTGCCCACTATACTAAAGGTTCTCTACTATCTGCTATACTATACTCTAACTACAGAGATGTTTATTTAAACTCTCTAATTATAATTTAATTTTAAGCTAATAAAAACCTCTAATATTTGATACAATATTTACTATGTGCTAGCCATGAATTTGTGTGCTATCAACATTTTATAGCCAACTTAAAATTATTTATTTATTTATAAAGTAAATCTAATAGCATATTATATGTTCTACATATAATAGTATATATTGTTTGCTATCATTGTATTATATCTTATATCACCTTTTGGGTGCTGTTGTAACACAATTTATATCTCAAGCACAACCTTTCTAATTTAGTTTTTTATTACTTACTTTTACCCTTAATAAGGTTTACAGACCCCAGTACTCCATTCTGTTATTTTTCATATTGTACTATATTTGAAATACCCAGTTTTCTAAGCCAAATGGTCTAGAAGGATTGGTTTGCTCAAATCTAAGTTTTCTAGGCTCAAGTTTGAAGATTATACAATCCTTGGTTTATTTCTCCAGAGTCTTATCCTAGAATCTTCTACTAGTTATCTAGTTATTAGTATAATAAAAAAATATACAACTAGTATGGCTCTAGTAACTTTGGCAATTTGGTTGGTAGATCTCTTTTGTCTAAAAAATTTTTATTGTCTAGGTTTTCTAAATTTTTAGATCTAGCCTGTAGTACTAGGTAGCACTAGATTAGATCTAATCTGTTATTTCCTTTATTGGAATTTGCCAAGCTAGTTTTGGTTCTTTTAGACTACTATAAGTAGATCTTTATATTAGTTAATCCTGGAAGACTTATTATAAATTTGCATTATCTATACTGGTTTGTATTCCTTTGTACAATAACACAAATACTTCCATGTTTTCTAGTACTTTCAAGACATTAGTATACCCTAGTTTATAAGCATAAAACTTAGCCAATTTAGAATAAGTAATACAAGTAAATTATCTAAAATGTTGTTAGTAGAATTCAAACTCAGTATTATAGCCAAACACAACACCCTTTTTTATTATTTTTATAATAATAATTAGGGCGTTATTTTATAGCAACCCCACAATCAACCAATCAAAATTAATCATGTATATTTTATATTTTTTATTCCGAAGTCCGATCTAAAAAGCTGATCTAATACAATTAACCAATTAAATTCAATAATATAAAAAATAATAAATTTCTAATTTTAAATTTTACATAAAAAA